TCTTAAGGGGTTCTCGAGAAATTCACGAAAAACTGTAATTACTGAAAAAAAAGTTGATTCTCTGCTGTTTCAAATTCTACAGCTCATAGCAGACGACTCCACGACAGCCCGAAGATGCCAATAGCCTTGTTGGAAAGGTGATGTATTCAGCTTTCATGCGAATGGTCGATAATGTAATTAAGGAATTGTCGAGAAATTCACACAAAAAACCTAAAAAAAACTGAATTAAAGACGAAAAAATGTCGTTTCTCTGTTTTTTCAATTTTTACAGCTCATAGCAGGCGACTCGATGGCAACACGAAGATGTGTCTAGGTGCGTTGGATAGGAGAGATATTCAGATTTCATAGGAATGGTCGATGGTGTAATTATCTTAAGGGGTTGGAGATATTTTTTTTGAATATTATTCCTCTCTTTTGCATAAAATATTAAAATCAATATGTAACAATTGTGCAATTATGTGGAACAAGTATTGTAAAACCTTTAATCCTTAAAGAAAATTTAGTATAGAATGATAACTATTCATGCAATTGTAAGAGATTTAAGTAATACAGAGCTGGGATTTACTGGTGAATGTATGCATTTTGTTATATTATTAATAGAAGGACTTACATTTTAATGCAAATGCGTTAACCTCCCCTCGTGCGATGGGTTAACTTGACCATCGTCTTGTGTAGTCCTTCAGCCGGCGACCTTCAGTTTTTTTTTCTTTATTCGCAAAATATTAAGGGGGAACCGCATTGTGATCCTGGAGGGGTCGTGGATTTACGACGTTTTTCTATTAAAATCTGAATAAGAAAAATCCAGAAATATAAATCAGCAGCCAAGAATTAATAAGGAATGCACATATTCATCGTCGATTTTGTTCCGGTCACATTCTATTGCTTGGCTTTATAGACGTGCCCCTTCTTTATTCTTCTTAAATTTTCACATACTTTTGATCCAAGTTTTTACTTTTTGAAAATAACTTTTTGTTAATCAAAAAATTCAATATGAATTACTTAATTTCTTAATTATTACATAGATAATAATAATAATTTGTAATTAATAAAAAAAAAACTAATAAGAATGAAATATTTCTATTATTCTCTTATTAATTTTCAATTAATTTTTATTTTTCACTTTTAATTAATTGTGTCAATAAAAATTCTCTTTTTCAGTTTGAATTATTGTCATAATTTAATTTTAATGAATTGGATTGAATTGAAATTTGTCTTTAAGCTGAGTTTGTTTCTTGGTGTAATAAATATGAGTATTAAGAATTTGTCTGGGATCTAAATGTAAGAGATTTTATACGTTGGGGTGCAAATATTTGGTTAATGAAGAACCCCCTTGTGTCCGAGCAGTTTTCCCTTAAAAAGGATTAAGGATAAATATATTTTTTTGTTCTTTGCGGTAATAAATCACGGCGATTCGCTTTGGTCCGTACCTGTTGTTTAAAAAAAAATACAAAGAAAAGAGAGAAGATATATAAAGCACGCACAACGGAAAACAAAAACCCGAAGACTAAGAAGTGGACGGCTCGGATATAAAAGGGTGTATAAAGGAAACGGTTCCTTCTGGGCTATGGCATTTAACAATATTTGAACCCCATCATTAAAGTTCGTGTCTGGTCATCGTGCGGATGGGCAAGGGTCAGAGGTATAAGGGGGCTACCGTAAAGGACTACCGAGTTATGCCCAAGGAACAGGTCAGTTGCATCGGTCGGTGTAAATTTCAAAAGTCGACCTCGGGGGTTCCCACGGCCAGGTCAGAAGGTACCATGCCCATGTGTTTGTGTGTGTATATATATGTGTTTATGTGTGTGCGCTGTGTCTAGTGAAATTGTGCCCATTCGAACCCCAGATTTATTCGAAAGATATGTAAAGTGCGGGTTTCGTTTACATAAAACTGGAGACATTCAAATGCGGAAAGGTTTCCGATTCCTTACGGATCTGCCCCAAAAACCATAGAGTTCCCTTCTTCTCACCTCGGACAATGATCGTAGGCATACGTTAATGTATTTATTCGATATTTTTTCTCACAGTTTTCAATATACTGGATTAGCATAATTTGAATTTGCCGCGATTTGGGGGACGTTGATGGTTTTGGTATTTGGTTGCTCTTCTGTAGACTTACTTTTCGGAGTTTCGGGATGAGCGCTCAGGCGTTCCTATTGTTTCGCGCCTTCCTCCCTGAGCTCTCGTGATGAAAATATCTTCGCACAAAGGACCAGATAAGCCCCGAAGAAAAGGATATTTTCCTCGGAAAGGTACAGACTTTCCCATCCATATTCCAACCGCCCCCGCGCGAATACTTAATTAACTTCGCGGAACGGCATCCACACCCCCCTCCAAAGCACGCCACTTCCGAATCAACCCCGTCCAAACAATACGCGCTCATCAAACAACATTTCTTACCGAATCCTTAACTCGATTAATTCTTTAGTCGCACAATATTCGACGCACGTACAGAACAGCGCGCCATTCAATCAGCTACTTCAATTTTATTAATTTTTGTTAAACATTTTCCAACTCCGTTCAATTTAAATCTAACTAATGTTTCACAAAACAAATGATTAAAAAGTATCACCGCCTCTGCTGTGTCTTTACTTTCATCCTCCATTTCAATGAGCCTTAATTTCCAAAGAAACGCTGCGACACAGGCAAAATGGAAAGCAACCTATTTATGTATCACAAAGGCGAGAGGTCAAAGTGTCAGGATGTATTACAATAAATAACACTCAATCAAAGAAATCGAATGCATCTATTCACAATTGAAGCTAATACACATACAGGATATTATTGTTTCTAACAATCAATCATCGACCGTCACTGAAGTTCACTCCAATAACGATTACATTATTCCTCTTTTTTTATTATTTTTCCGTTGCATCGATATCAATACGAAAACATTCCTTTCATTTACAAGAAAAAAATAACCTTTAATTTATTACCTTAGTTTTATAATTTATTTTTTCAAATTATATTCATATTAGTAAAATAATATTTATTATATATACACCTATCTCCGTTTTACACGGTACTTTCTTTACACGTTTTTGTTTTTTTACCGTGTAAAAAAATGTTGAAAATAAACAAAAAGAACAATTTTCTTGACTTCCAATATTTTTCTTTGATTTATGTACCTTAAAAAAATTATTATTAATCAACAACAACATTTTGCGTTTTTTTTTGCATACTTTTCGAGTTACACCGTTTTGTGTTCAGAAAGTTATATATTTTCAAATAAAAATTAAAAGATCATCTATTAATAAACAATTATTTCAATTTTGTAGAATCAGTTCAAATTATTTTTTTCCTAATAATAAATCAATAATGCACGAAAATTGTTTTGATAAAATAAATAATAAAATATAATTTTATCAATAATGAATTTGATTGCTTGCAAATACTTAATGGAAAAGTAAAATCTTCGTTTATGGATAATGAATACAATGGCAAGAGAGAAGTTAAAGAAATAAAATTTAAAAAAAAAAGATTGAAAGAGAAAGTCCAGCAAGCGCATTGCTTGTGTGTTTGAAACTAAGAATCTAAACAGAATAATTCAAGTATTGATACAATAATAATAAGTTTGCCATAGCGCATCGTTTCTTACATAATTGAATATAGATCATTCTGTGTTTTCAGTTAACATGAGCGGGAAGCGGAGGGATGAAACGCATGGAAGGATTGCGTAATTGCGCGGATGCAGCAGATGAAGATGAATCGTTTTTCAAGCAAATTGGGAGGTTGACACACACATGACAAATTCTCAAATTTCTATTTGTCAAACTAATTGTTATTATTTTTGTTCAACGTTTAGGAAATTTTTAATATATATAATTCTTTTTTAAACAAATTCATTAAGTTTTGTATAACTTGAAAATTTGTAAATGTTTCATAAGAATTATGTTAACTTGAAAGATTAATAAAATTAAAACGTTTATGATTAAAAATTTATCAATTGGTTCATCATTGGTTTTTCAACGTGGTTTTCCAAAAATGTAAAATTTAATTAGTACACGTTTCAAGTATTTCGTTTAAATAACCAAAATTAAATTAATTGAAAAACCTTGTGTTTAAAGTTAATTTTAAGAAAAACTTACTTCAAATTTACTTTATCCCAAATATTTTTGTATTAATATTATCTATTTTTTTTCATGTTTAATGTAACTTTTATATAACTTTAATAATAATATATAATAAATAATTGCCAAAATTTATTAATATTTTCTATAAACAAATTTTATTATAAAATCTTAATTTTCTTATAAGAATAAAGCTGAATTACAATTGAAAATAATTTTCATGAAATCAAGTCGAAAATATAATTAATAACATATAAATTAGTAAAAAAAAATAAAATTTTATTTTATATAAAAAAAATCTATTCTATTTACTTCGGTTTTTATGCTTGTAAATATATTATGTAACAAATATAATATAATTATAAAACCGAATAAACAAAAATATTAGATTTTTTCAATTCTTTCAATAGAAATAATAATAAATAAAAAAATTGTCTAACTAAATATATATAGAATAAATATAAAAATATGAATAAAGAATTTAATTATTCTATACGTAAATTTGTGTTAAATTATAAATTTTGAAAAAATAAACTCATTCATTTCTTATATCCCATTAGAATTTATAAAAAAACAATAACTTCCTGGTAAATCCAATGTATTGGCATCAAAACAATGCAAATATTAATAATCTTACTTTTTCTACGAATGAATAGAAATGTGAAGATTAAATCAGAGAAACTGGTATGAAAAAAGAAACTCCGTCGTTTTCTTTTCATCTCCCTGACTGCGATGCGTTTAGGTGTAATTGAGATGGGGTTGTAAATTTAATTTTTACGCCCGTGCCGTGGGGCTAATCTGTATGGGATGTTTACGAAGTCGGCCCTCGTTAGTCTCATTGCTGATTATGTTGGCACAATAAAACGGGGGCAAAACACCTGATGCGTAGCCACATACACACAAAAAGAGAAGAAAGAAAAAAAAAACAAACAGACTCCGGTGGCTGACGAAGGGGTTGCAGGAAGAATCGAATAATCAGGTAGATGAATCTCCCCGCGCCGGGGGATGCTGCACGGGAGAAGGGTTAAACATCATCATCATCATGAACATCATCATCATCCCGTCGAGAAGGGCGTTAAATGCGGCACATCCACAAACAAAACAACAGTAAAAAAAACTAATTCATAGAGAGTCGAGATGAGCGTGCGTGTGTTTTTTTTTTCGTTTATCATAATAATGTAATAATAAAACCTTTTGTTACACCTTTGCGCACACGTTCACCTTTAATCCTTTTTTTACGATTGCAATTGTTATTATCGTTTTTAAGGGTTATCTCTGCGGCGAATGTACCATGGGTCTGTTTCGCAAATTACATTCGCCGACGCGGCCGCGTTTCATCCTTTCACACCGAATTAAAGGGATAACATCCTTACGGGCGACCGAGAGAGAAAGATACAGATTGTGTTTGTGTGTTATTGAGAGAAGTTGAGAGAGAGAGAGAAAGCACTTGAGCGAGTTCTTAAAGGATCTTTACTTTTATTAGTCTTGGTTTTATAGTATTAGAATGATGAGATGAAAATAAGTGATGTCAATAAAGAGAGCAGAGCATTTGTTGTTGTTTAGGTTGTGTTCACTGTGGGTGTTGAAGACTGGTTGCCGTGTACTCTCCGGGCGATTTTTGTAGAAGTGTCTGGAAGGAAGTATGGGGTAGGAAGAGTAGAGTAGTGAAGAGAAGAGTAGAAACAGAGCAGAGCAGCAGCAGCACGTGGTAGTGATAGAGTAGCGACACCCGAAAATATACAGTGGCGCGCGAAATGCCAGAGCCATGGGCTGTGAGCGCGGCCTGTCCTGCCCCCACCATCGTACTCGACGCCGCCCATTGGCCTATCGTGACCCGGCTGTGAACCGGGGACCTCCCAGACCCGCCCAGGCCAAGTCAGTGTCGGGCCCGAGACCGAAAGGTCACTAGTAGAGGCTAGAGAGTGCCGAGGGGATGACCTATCACCTCGAGTGCTCCGATACGTGCTCGTTCCGAACCGCTCCAACTTGCGAAATACTCGAAAACTGTGCCAAATTTTCCAACATTTTTCTCCGCAAATTGCTGAGCAGTGCCGCCAACCCCCCGCGACTTTTCCGTTCGTACCGCGAACTGCAATAACAAGTATAGAATAGCATCGGGACACGCGACAAATATCATAATAAATACATAGCATAATTGCGTGCGTAATTGCAATATCAGCGAGAGAGGATCTAAGCCCAGAGGGATAGAGATTCCCATTTGAATGTTGTAAAGTGATTACTTCTTCTTGTATCGTATACTTCTTCTGCTCCTCTCCGCCGGTGCCATAGATAACAAGTGTCATACGAGGCGTGTGCGATAAAGAGGGCATAGCTTTATAGCGAATAAAATATGGCTCTAGTGGCACCATCGTGGCGGGAATCGTCGTTGGTCAACCCCATACCGACCAGCCTGAACACGCTGTCGAACGCACTCAACCCTCTTCCGGTGACCAACCTGAACCCGCTGCCCGCCAACCTGAACCCCATCACCCTGGACAACGCTGAGATCGCGCTGATCAGCAGGCAGACCCCGTCCCAGAACTCCCAGATCAGTGTGAACAGTGACAAGAACCAGAACATCGAGTGCGTGGTTTGTGGTGACAAAAGTTCAGGAAAACACTACGGACAGTTCACATGCGAAGGTAAATAACAACAATTAAAAAAATATACAACCCGTCGCTATACATCAAAACCAAACCATCTATCCCTTCAAACCTTTCAGGAAGTCACCTTCCGCGCGCCGAGTGAACTACCGCACAACAAGAACCTCTCCTAATTATTTTAATTGCGACGATAATTATCCCCAGATAGAAATCACGCTTCTACTTGCTTAATTTACGAGCGCAGGAGAAGCGTACAAGAATAAAAATATTGAAGACAGAAACACAAAAGCAACTTAAGAATTTTACGGCCCTTCGGGGAGCGATTCGCTAACAAATGGCACGCATTTTATAAAACCATAAAAAAAAGATGATATTTACATGCGTGAATTCAAGATGATCTTCCTCGTAAATAGATGGTAGGATAATATATATACATACATATAATATAATACACGGCAACGATTCTTCTTCTTCTTCGCGGTCAGCGAAGCGAGAACGGATGGGGAAGAAATCATATGTAATTATAATTAAAAAGTTCCACGGCGTGGATCTTCAAATCCTATTAGAATCCTTATTTCGATCTTCCTTTACATTTCGTATACACAATAATAATAATAATCCGGGCAATAAGAAAGGTTTCGAATGTTGTAAGATTTCCTTCCTTCCGAGTGTATCTGATTACTTACTTACTTACTGTGTGCTTCTTCCATTTGTGCTTTGTTTCTTTAATTCTTATTTTTTTTTTGCCGTAGGTTGCAAGTCGTTCTTCAAGAGGAGCGTAAGGAGGAACCTGACATATTCCTGCAGGGGTAGCAGGAACTGCCCGATCGACCAGCACCACAGAAACCAGTGTCAATTCTGTAGATTAAAAAAATGCATGAAGATGGGAATGCGGAGAGAAGGTGAGGATTCGGTTATTGTTTTTTTTTTTCGTTGGTGTTTGATATTGCGCGAAACGAGAGCGCTGGATAGTGATTTGCATGGACTAGCGCGATCGTTTCCTTCCTTGATTCATCGTTTAAATCATTTAGAGCTCGCAGCTTGGGTGTTAGTTAATAAGACGCTGCGTTTTCCACGTAATCGTAATCACAATAATCGTAATGATGAGGTGCTCGGTACTAGGTAATGGATGGATAGGATTGGATTTGATAGGTAGATGGCTGTGCGAGTAAACTGGAAATACGATCCTGTGCCCGGTCTTGTGTTTAGGCCGCTTTCCCATAACACTGACCGCCAATAAGCCATTAATCTTGGCCGAGTCGTTAATGTATGCAAGCGGTAAACGATCCTTTTGGTCTCGGGAAAGGCCCTTTTGTTGGACCTTACGGTCAAGTATTTGTATATTAAATCGATCAATCATCTGCAAGAATAGAGCACAATAGGGCCCGTGTACATACATACATATATACATATAAGACTGCGCATACTTCGAGGCCAGTCTTCTCTCAACTCCTTCCATCATCGCACGGCCAGCTCCTCTCTTGTCAAAACAATCAAAGTGCAATTGAAAAGGTATTTTAAGCTCGCAGTAATTTCGTGCGCCGGTCCGTCTTCACAAGACCGGGATCGGTGATGTTTAATTGTGAAGATGCGATCACGTGCGGCTGTAAAGCTGGAGAACAATACGAGATGAGATGATGAAGGAAGAAGGCGAACCATGAAAAACAAAACTAAAGGCGAAACAAAATAATAATCATAATCATAAAGAACTAGTCCGTGGACGTTCCTTTTATTTTTTTCCTCGCCTCTTCTACTTCTTCAGCTTCATCTTCTTCCCTTTGTTAAACACGCGACCTTTTTAACATCAGGTAGACATAACAAATGAGGCCCTTCAATCTTCTTCTATCTCTCTCTGGTTTTCATTCTCGCATCTCCTTACTGGTGAAAACCATCACTTAACAAATAATCCATATGGTAATGACCATCAACAAATCAATTCAAGTATTTTTTTTTCTCAATTATATATTTTTAATACATAGTTAATTAATTTGAATATATACCCAAAATAAACCAAAATTTTTCAATTAATAAAGATTTTATTTATTTCACGATAAAATTCATTAAAGAAGTAATTAATGATCATTCCGCGGTGTTGATGTTAGATTCATTCATTTATTTTTTCTGCGTTACGTAAGGACGATATGAAGATGCTGTTATCGGATAATCTAAAAAATTAATCTGCGTCCATTATCCGCGCGCCACCCCTTGCGTATCGCGCGCATAAAATTCATAAAGGGTGGTAAGCGTAAATATCCAAATCCCATTTGCAAATTGAAAACAAACACTCTGTGGGTGAGGAGAGAGAAAGCAACTAAAAAAATGGAAACAATAACAGCATGTTGAACGAGATATAGTGTGAAAATATTTAATTAAATGTTTTCATATTTTTTTTTTAAATAATTAATCGAAATTTTCAATGTAAAAAGAAACGAATCCAATTTTTAATTAATTCGAAAATGCTGTAAAAATTATGGATTTTATTTAATTGAAATCATGAATGATAATTAGTAATGAATTCTTTATAAGAAGAAACAATTAAAATCCAATTTTTATATTAAAATTATTATTGATAATAAAAATTGAAATGCAACTGGTTTTTAAATTAATAGTTGGATGAAACTAGTATAAACATAGTAATGAATGAATGCATTGTAGTGTGCAACGAAAATAAAGTCAATTGAAAGGTCATTGACTATTTTAGGTCTACGTATTATGTAATTAAAGACTTTAATTAGAGACGTTCTTATTTCATATGTTAACTATATTGTCGGTAATCATTTTAAACTGAAAACATTTTAGTGATAAATTTCACAGCATATTTTTTTTTATTGAATTTTTATGATCGTGGTGTAAAGATTTATCGGTGCGTTCCAAGCGTGTTCTGAGGTTTTGAATAAAAATTGAATTACGTTAGTTCCGAAGGGTCCGTTTACGCTTGAGAAAGTAATAACTTCTGAATAGTTCACATGCGGTTGTTGTGATTCAAATTTTTGGGTGAGATTTGGGTAATATCGATTTGCTAATCCGTGCTTCCGATTAAAAGATGACTAAGGGATGGGTGAAGGGAATACGGAACAACAGAGTGACCAGGTAGAACCCGTTTTGAAACATAGGGGGAGAGAGAGAGAGAAAAACCTTCGAGGGTTGTGACACCTTTCCGAAGATAGGATGACCAGTGTCCAGCGGATATTATGCAAATGGGGGTCCGAGTCTAAGGGATTTATTCAAATGACCGTGGAATAGGGGCGCCCTTCTTGTCCTGCCGTGGGAAAGAAAGCGGACCCACTTATGCAATTATTATTTTTGGCGAAATCTTATTTGGTTACGGTGAGCAACCCCTCGGCCGGAAAGGAAGCGGGGCGATGTGAGGAAAAAGAAGTAGAGGAGGAAGAAGAAGAATAAGAAGAGGCCAGACCATAGCAGACAATGTCCTCGCATAATTTACTCGAAACGTTGCTTTTTCTTGGGAAAAACTACGGAGCGCATCTTTCATATGGAATGGAGAGAAGAAGTTACATGTCAACTACACTACATTAATTTAATTACGGCCCTCTCCCCGATTCAGGGAATTACTTTCGTGTTCTTCTTTCCAACACAATACAAACGACTCCACTTCTTGTTACTTACTATTATATGTGTATACTTATATACACATTTCTACAGAGTTGATTTTTGTGTTCAGTTCTTCATAATCAAAAAGGTCAACTTTAATAAAAAATCGAAATAAATAATCATGATCATCATGAAAAGCGAAGAATAACAAGGAGGCAATTAATTTATTGTCAACGCGAACAATTGCACAATTTTAGTATTAAACACACGTGAAAGCCGCGAAGGAAAATGGTACGAAATTCGTAATGGAAGACGAAGCGAGCCGCTACTTTTAGGTCACAGGCCTGGAAAAGTTTATCCGAGCTAATCACAAATCGGCGATTTCAGCTCTAAAAACGGGTAATCACCAGTCCAACCAATGGAACATAAAGAACAACACACGGACACCGGCGGATCCATCCTCTCCTCCTCCACCTTACCGTTTCCCTTCTGACCTTTCGCACTGTCATTTCCGATTTGCTGTTTGCGTTTTGTTGATTCCGTCTCGTCCTGTCGACTTATTCTTATTTTTATACTCATTCTTTTTCTTTATCTTTTTTGGTTTTATTATTTTTTCGGGGCCTCAACTTTCGCCGAGTCCAAGAAGTGTGCTCGCCGTAAGTGTGTGTATATATTTTTTTTTTGAGGGAAACCAACACTAGAATGACTTCATTCTTTATGGTATTTGATTATGGCCCCATCTCGCTGTACGCTTGGTCTTGGTTCGAGGTCAGGGTCAGCAAAGGTCATTTCCCACGATAGCCACACTCGGCATAGCAACTCAGTACAGAATTATAATACAAGTTCCATGCATAAACATATAATAAAAATATACACACACACATATATATATATATACTAAATGTGTGTGTTTGAGAGTATAACGAAAGAACTTTTACATTCCAAAAAACTCGTCCGACTTATTCGCCGTTTGTTGTTATGATTATATTTCGGTGATATATCGACCCCGTTCGCTACTTTCTTCCTCTCTGGATACACAACTCTATTCATGGGTCATGGGTCAAATCGGCTTCGATTATCATTTCTTTATATGTTTAATAATTTATTATTTCTCGGTTGATTGGAGCATCTTTTATAAATATATACTTTGCGTTCATTTGCATTTGCGCGTCACGGGACAATTAATTGTTTTTCGAACGTAACGATAATGTACTTGTCATGAAAAATTGGAAATGAAGCAAGGAGAAAAATATGAAAGGGAATGAGAATAAAAAAAAAAGAAGTATATGATGCAAGGAGGATGAAGAAGATGAAACGAGTGAGGAGAAGTCGAACACCAATCAATGTTAATTCAAACGTCAGGGCCCATATAAATGATCTTAGACAAGCATAACTTTGATTGATGGTGCATTATACCTCAACCGGGCGGAGAGGTCGAGGTATACTTACTGCATCGCGAGGCTTGTATTAATTAAAAATAGAAACGAAGAAAACGGCGTTGCGGTGGAGGATGGGGGAGGATGAAACGCGACATTGGATTTTGTTTGTTTCTGTTGTTGTTTATTTTTACTTTTGGGGGAATACCCTGTGGGATTGTAGGAGACAATGCATCACTTTCCTCGCGCGCAGACAATTAGCCGAGAGCGTAGCTGTAGAAGAAGAAGAATAAGAAGTAGAAGACGAGTGCAAATAAAAGAAGTAGATGGAGAGTGAGAGGTTACTGGTGTGGATTGGGATGCGTAGGTTGCGCGTGAGGGGAGAAGAATACGAAGGGACACCTTAAGTATTTGTGTTTTACTGCTAATCCAGAGTTAATTTGCAGTTAAAAAGACATGAAATCAAATTGAAAAACAGGTTCTCACTGCAAATTATAAATGTCTAGAGCGGTGGAATGCAGTTTTATGTTTTGACACACTTCAAGCCATATTACAGGCTACTTTCGCGTCCGTCGTAAACATGCCTATGCGAGCGAAGGGGTGTCTCTGATCATCTGGATTTTCTCTCTTTCTGTTACAGCCGTCCAAAGGGGCCGTGTGCCGCCCTCGCAGCCTGCCCTTCCCGGCCTGCCCAACCAATTCCTGAACTCGACGGACTCAGTGACGACGTCGCTCAGCAATCACACCTACCTGAGCAGCTACATCTCGCTGCTGCTGAGGGCTGAACCCTATCCGACCAGCAGGTACGGACAGTGCATCCAGACCAACAACCTGATGGGCATCGAGAACATCTGCGAGCTGGCGGCTAGGCTGCTCTTCTCCGCTGTAGAGTGGGCGCGCAACATACCCTTCTTCCCAGACCTGCAGGTGACCGATCAGGTAATGTACCAAAGATGATGCTTATGCTCGTATTGGAGAGGATAGGAGGACAATGGACTTCGAGTTTATTAATTGCGTATTTTCACATTGTTTCAGGTTGCTCTTCTGCGGTTAGTTTGGTCCGAGCTGTTCGTCCTTAATGCAAGCCAGTGCTCCATGCCCTTGCACGTGGCACCCTTGATCGCCGCCGCCGGCCTCCACGCATCGCCCATGTGCGCCGATAGGGTTGTGCAATTCATGGACCACATAAGGATATTCCAGGTACATACATCCCATAACATATAGGGGTCTACAATATAGACCATACATACAGCCATATCCCGTATCACTGCGGTGGCTCGTGAATAAACCGCGGCATTATTATTTAAACGCTGCCGGCATAATGGCCGTGTATTAGGTGATACAGTCCGTACACCCCACCACCCTCGCATAATATCAGAACAAAACCTATTCGGCGTGAATGATGTGATGTAGTGCGGATGAAAACGTGATGAATACAGATGTTAACATCCAAATTCTAAAGCTCATTCCGTATTGTTTTAGGAACAAGTAGAGAAGTTAAAAGCGCTGCACGTGGACTCCGCTGAATATTCCTGTCTCAAAGCCATCGTTTTATTCACAACAGGTAAGTTCGCAGCTACAACTATTTTCATTAAAAATAAAATACGCCACCCTCCATAATCGTACGGATCGACCACAAAAGTTATTAACTTTTCCTTCCTCCTGCTCATCCATCCCATTGTAATTGAACCTAATTCAACTACGACGCAACCCCGAAACCAAAATGAATTTAATACGTCCATGTAATACTTCGTTACGTCGAATTGACGTGACTTCGTTACGCGAATTTCGTTATCACATTACACATGGTTCACTGAATTCTAATATTAATGCTAAACTAGTTCCATATATGTAACATATATTTTTATTTTTTTAAAACTATAAACCATTTCAATTTTAACCAATCATCAATTTCAAAGTGATATTTCATTTATGAAACAATGCGTCAAGAAAAGTACATATTTTTTTATTTCCACGTGTTTATTTCACTTTGTGAATTTACGCAATATATCAACGTCATACGAAAAGTTCATTTTCTTTTATATATCATAAGAAACATATTGTATCAAATCGATTTAATTTTGATAACAAATTTCTAAAATCAAAATAATTTACAAATATAAATAATCATTTCTTATAAAATAATACAATTTTACCATAGGGAAGCTAGATGATCAAAGTTCAAACGTAAATATATTCTGTGTTCGTAGAAATTACTCGCTCAATTCTTCTTCTTATTATATTATTGTCATTTTTTTTTATTTATTTCATTATTTCTTTTCCTCTTCTATTTGTTCAGCCATGAATTAGCCATTTCTATTGTATTCATGGACGTGTGACTTGCCAGTCAGCCGTTAGCAAAGAATAAATTTGATTATTAATTGGAGCGACGCGACTTGAACGGCTATAGCCTCCTAAGTTCACGATCAAGACCAATTTATGGATTTCGATTTGTGTTAATTACACGAATGATTCATGCCTTACTTCGAGGTGGACTATTGTAACCGATCTTTATTCTAAAATGCTTGGAGTAGGTACCTTTCACCAAATGTTCTGCTTCGCAAAGCATCCATAAAACTCGATCCAATATTGGATCAGACACTGCCACTCATTTGTACCAATTAAATGCAATATTTGCGCTTCGCACCTCCCTTAAATCAGACCCGATTTCAACCGTCGCTCCGCTCCGCTAATTAATCAATCCGTTGCGTAATCCGAATCACCGCGGGATGCCGGGCTTCTGGTAATTGGTAATCTAAGATCACTGTTTAAGCGTCTCACGAATTTTCCAGTTTAACAACTTTGAATGCTTCAAATTTCAATTATCACTTTAACTTACATATACTTAATACCATTAGAACAGTTACATTTCAACAAATTTCATTAAATTACAAAAAATCATTGGTTTGTAAAGACCAATTGATATGTACGAGTAGTTACGGTGGGTCACTGCCTTTGGGATTGATGAAGTGTGGTTGCAGACTAATTGAATTTTGGTGGGACAAGTGTCCTCCTTTGTCGGTGCGTTCGGTGATTCAGTGATACAAATGAGTTGGAAAAACGAGAATTGCATCGGGCATCACCGCAATAAATATAACAGTATGAAGACGATCGCGAAGAGATCTCGATCTCCGTCGGAAAGGAGAGTTGAAGCAGAGGTAGGATTGAAGAAGCAAACAAAAAAAAATAACGAAATAACGAAGGTGAAACAAATAATGCTGGGAATACAAACAAAACGCGACCGTTGCATAAACAACGAAGAGAGAGCCCTTTGGTCAAAAAAAAAAGAATATTGTGAAAAGAAATCAACAATAAATATGAAAATGGATTTTTTTCCAATTATAACGAGCACGCAATATCGGAACATCTGCACATACGCTTCCGTGTCGAGTGCGGGTGGTGCATGCAATGGAACGAAACGAATAAAAAACAAAGCAAAACCAAAACCAACGTAAAAAAATCACTGCTTCCGGTTTGAGGTGAAAGGTGGAACAGGTGCCGCATCTGAATTTTTCAATAACACCCTAATTCCATCGAAATCCTTGTTGCATTCTTCATAATTTTTTTTATTCTTTACTTTCTGTCTCTCCTCTTTCTCTCTCTCGGAAAAGTTTTATAATATGTAGTACACACGGTCTTAGCTCTATGTAAGTATGCCATGCGCTCGGGCACGGGTTTTAGTATAGATATAACCTGAGGCTGTACCCTAAGCGCTCGTCGTGACCAGTCAAGTCACGACCTTTCGTAACCCAACCTGCTCACAGGTTCACACACACGAAGTCACACTCACATCGTACAAAATCTAAAACGTCTTCGAGCATTCCGAACCACCCCTGAATCATCTGGTCCAAGTGAACCAAAAAAAATAAATAAAAATAAAACAAGATACAACAAAAATACCCTTGCCGAAAAGGGAACGTGACAAGTTATCAGATATCCTATGATGTGCGGTCTGTTTATTAGCCACCCCCTGGTACGAATCCCACCCTCGTTTCGGCTTTTTACCATCCGCATCACGGTGCAATTGTACCGAGTGTGTAGCATATATAACTCCATTGTAATATACTGTGTGTTGGGGTGGACACACGCTGAGATAACGTGCCTGCATCTCCACGAGCACCCCTCGACACGAAAAAAAAATATATATACATACACACACACTCACCACAAAGCTTTAACACTATTTCAATTCCACCCCCTCAGAAAAAAAATATATATCGAATGCAAGACAATATATGGTACAATCTGCAAATCAATAGCACGAAGGAATATAGAATGAGTGAAAATACGGTCCAGTGATGATTACTTCACGATCCTCTGCAAGATTTTGTGTAGTCACTCCAAGTACCGTTAGCGTGATTTGCAATAAAGCTACGAAGGCGAGGAACAAGAATATAAAAAAAACGAAATAAAAATTTGTAGAAAGAAGAACACACACAAACTAAGGCTTAATATAGAACAGGACAGCCTTTGTGACGATCACTTTCTTAGATGTCAATAGATACCTCGTTCACTATCCATTGTGCAAGTGAATCTATGCCTTTCCACACTGAACCTATTTAGTTTTTATCTCTCTTCATAATTTTCGATGTAGGTAGACCATTCGATATGGCTGACCGTTAATAGGTTTCGCAACAAAACCAGTGATTCGGTATAAAATCGCCCTATTACAGTTGATTTATGAAGATGGAGATGTTGCTGAAAGCTTTACAAATTGATGTCCGAAAAATCGCTTTAAGAAAAATTGAAAACTTATCAATATTGAAAAATTATATACTATTATAAATTATCATAAAAGTTTTGACAGTTGAGCAAAATTTCATTTACAAAAGATTTTTTTTAATAAAAATTCAAGAATTACAAGAAAATTATTCATTAAATAATTAAGTTAAAAATAATACAGTTTTGAAAATTAACATTTTTTATTTAATTTATTTAATTTTTAAATTCAATTCATTATTTTAAAAAGCAATTATCGTTTAATCTACATAAATATGTGATGACAATTTTGGACATGAAAGTAAAAATGTTCGTAATAATAAAAATAATCTTTTCGACACCGATTCACCGAATTGACCTTAATATTAAGAGATTATACTCGCGGTGTCCATCTCTGTCAGACAAATTAACGGTGCATTCATTATGAAACGTTTGCGTGAGTTATAGGAACCAAACCGAACAAAAAAGCGACAATCTTACACGACATATTTTTTCTCTCATCCAATAACAGTTCTTTTATTGCTAAGATGATAATTTAAATACTTTGTTGAATATGCAAATTTTATCGACTTGCGTTCAATCTGTCAAACTTTATTACACGCATTCAATATTTTATCGTTATTTTTCACTACGTTATTAACGAAAGTTTCTAAAACTAATCAATTCATTTTCACTACTAGTTTTATCGATATTTAATGATAGATAATTTGAAGACAGAATTTTAATTTGCAAATACATTGAATTGTATTAAATCTGTCATTCCTACTAGTATTTATTTTTATTGGTAGTTGGACAACAATTTTTCAGAATGAATATTTTCCTTAGAATTTAACTGAAAAATCCGTCTTTTTGTGCTATTCCATATGGACATTTCTCAACGTGTTTCTCATCTGGTTTTAATGTGACTCGGGGCGCAATTAGGTCGAAGAATAAAGAATCGACCGAGAAATTTCCAATTTGCCACGTGAAAGCGGTTCCAGGCGTGTGCAGCAATTGGCTTCACAAAGAGCGTCAGTTTTTCCGGAGCTTTGTAAATTCGGTAGGTGTGTCTGGAAGTCTGCATATATCTGGAAGCAAATGGACAGAAAAAAATACAAATAAAATCGTGTATATATCACGACGAATTTGATTGTGAGGTGACGTGGCGCAAACGCCTCTCGAAAATTGTTTGCTTTTGCCTTTTTTTTTCTCTTCTCTCGTAGTGCCTTTTGTGAAGGGCATCGCCTTGCGAGGTGCATTGCAGTTAAATGGCCCTAACATGCGGCAGATGTTTGCCCAAGGAATTTGTTACTGTATTTAGGGTATTTAGAGCCTCGGTGACGGGGGGGCGTGATCTCATCCCTGAAAGCCCATTAAGTGTAACACAATTTAGGCAGCGGTTTCGGCGCTATAAATTTGTCCCTTCATCACATAACGAGGATTGCAGGCGATCGCGATGCGCGTTTTCTATTGTACTCTGTGCCCTTTTTCCCTCGAACACCGTGATCTTTTTACCTTGCGACGAAAGGTCATGCGGGGTTAATTGCGGAATTTATTGCACGGAAGGGACAACTTATCCCCTAATATATTGACCTTAAAAGGTCACGCACTCCGCGGATTCACACTAATAATAATAAAAAACAATAGCGAATTTGCAGCCATTTCATCGTTCTATTTGGATGCGATACAGTTTGCATTTATGCTGGGTGGGATGGAGATTGGGGATAGATTCGGATCGAAATAAATAGTGCTGACACAGATATTCCCAATATAACCAGATATTGGAGATTTCAGTCGTGATTTGTGTTAATTCGTGCGGCAAATCGGATTCCATGTCAACTCGATGAAATCCCCCTTATTATGTGT